CTTCCAAAATTAAAAAGCATTATGTTAAAAATCTCAATCAAGAGACACTGAAACAAGAGAATCTTATTGTGAAAATATGGGAAGTGACAAAAATGGATATTCTGTCAGATGGGCTGAAAGACTGTTCAATTCAAAAGGAAACTGAATGATGGGATGTATTGTATAAATGGCTGCAGTTACCAGATAGTGTTGGAGTAACACAGAATTAAACTAAAATTAAAAGATAAGATGAAAGCAGGAGGGTAATCGAACTGTGAAAAAGCAAAAAGTTGATCTGTTATTGTAATATGAATTGATTGGATGATGGTATACTTTGTGTTCTCCTATCCCCCTAACCTTTTTTCCCCTCTTCCCTATTCCCCACCTACTTTTTGTATTCCCTACCCTGTCCTTAAATAAATACTTAAATAATAACAAACCAAGGGCTTTTCAAACCATAAAAAACTGCCATATTATATGGCTTCTAAAAATTGGCCTTCTATTTATTTTCCCTAAGGTATGAAAACAGGAGGAAGAAACCACCACAGCAAGGATGGTTTTACTGGCAGTGGCAATTTTCAGGAATTAAAAAACTTCCATTTTGTGGTATTCATGGGTTCCTAACAATGAAAGGGATTATGCAGTAGCCATGAATACCTCAGGATAAAAGTAAGAAATGTTAACTTCTGAAAAATTGTCCCAGCTGATGATGCCATCAACCTTCTAAAGCGTAACTTAATCAAACAGATTTCAGCCATTTTCTGTTTGGAGATCAGGGTACAAACACACACTGGTCTCATATTTTTACACCTCAGGAAGAGGAAATAAAAGGCTAGTTTCCAGAAGATGAAGTTTCTACAAACAGATAAGGCATCTAGCTCAGATAGGTCACTCCAGCCTCACCTGGGAAGCATTTGCAGAGATCCTCATCCGTCACATACGCTAACGTTGCAGAAGTTAAGGGAAAAGCCACTCAAAGATGAACTTGAAGACATTAAGGGAACCACAAAGAATGATAAAGTGGACCCTCAACTTACAGACGGCTTGACTTACAGACTTTTCGAGTTACAGACTTTTCTGGCCGCAAAATTTAGATTCGACTTGCAGATGGAGAATCAACTTACAGACCAGAAAAAAACCAAAATGGAACAAAAATAGAATAAAAACTGTCAGTTATGGGATTAATCAGTTTTCAATGCATTGTAGGTCAATGCAGATTTGACCTACAGACTTTTTGACTTGCAGCCACCATTCCAATACGGATTAATTCCGTAAGTAGAGGGTCCACTGTGATTATTTTCTGGTTATCAGTTTTGGCAACAGCATTGACTTCATGTGGGCACTCTCTATAGTGCAGCTATATAAAAACAGAGACAAGTGTGTTCTAGAAATGACGTTCGCTTAGGAAGTTGAGCTTCAGCAACCAACAACCTCCCAGGAAAAGATATAATGGGATAAAAGAAAACGACATCAGAAAGCAATTTGGGGCAGGGAGCCAGATCAGTTATGAATTATGAGAGGAGCATTGACTTCATGTGGGCACTCTCTATAGTGCAGCTATATAAAAACAGAGACAAGTGTGTTCTAGAAATGACGTTCGCTTAGGAAGTTGAGCTTCAGCAACCAACAACCTCCCAGGAAAAGATATAATGGGATAAAAGAAAACGACATCAGAAAGCAATTTGGGGCAGGGAGCCAGATCAGTTATGAATTATGAGAGGAAAGAAAAATATTTTCTTGCTCTCAGAATATCAGAGGAGTCCCAAAGGTGATCAGCTATAAGGTTGCATAACTGTTGCTGGATTTTATGCATTTTCAAACCTTTCCCCAACCAGGTGCCCTCACAGATTATCAGATCACAATTCTGATCACTATACTGAGCTACTATTACCCTGCTGGCATGGAATAATATTAAGTGGAATCCAGTGCACTGTTCAGGCACTGGGCTGGGGAGAGATATATAACCCAATGCAAGGACAAACAGAGGACAGCTATTGCACAGAGATATATGTTGCCATAGATCTGAAACGGAAGGAAATCACATTTCTCTTGCCCAACACGCAGCTATTGCACAGAGATATATGACGAGCTATTGTCATAGATCTGAAACAGAAGGAAATCACATTTCTCTTGCCCAACACAGTGTATCAGGTACTCTGATATTTAAGATGCAAAGCAAAAGTGGGGGACCACAGTATGCTCAAAGGATATTGGCTGTTTTGCACATCATCTGTCACATTTTTGATGCTTTGTTGCACCCACATCTTCTGCTGTTCCAGCTCTCGCTCCCGCTGCTCCAGATCCTCAATCTCAGCCTTCAATTCAATCAGCTTGTGGGCAATTTCACGAGTGTTACAGCCAGGGCCTACACCTCTGGAAAGAAAGAGAGTTTATTAATGGGGTATGAACATGTCAGAGAACCCACTGCCATCTTAGCCCACTCATTCCCTGTGATCCATACAGTATTACTTTTCAGGTATGTTGATAGCAAAAGCTTCCATGCTTAATGTCCAAAGTTCTCTCAAAAGGAACCAATGATATCCTCTCCCCATCCCTACCAAATACACCATGCCTCTCTCCAAACATCTTTTCACTCCCTCTCACCAATTCCTTCCAGAAAAGTCCTCCAAATCCCAGCCATGGTTTCAATCCTTCCCAAAGTGAAGTTGATAACCCACTGCCTCAGTTCCAGGAATCCACCCTGGGTAAATTCTGGCAGTTCCTAAATTCTGGGAGAAATATACAGTTGCTGTTGTTTTGAACGTGTAGTGAACAAGTGCTTAATACTGGGGTATTCTGAGACATAATCTCAAAAAAAGTAATTTTTGAAGCTTCGATTGTCTCTTGCAATTCCAATCAAACTTTCCTTTCAATTTGTATTCAAAGTGATTACTATTACCTACAAATCCTTACACAATTTGAGAATGCCTATTTAGGAAACCACACTGTCTCACATGAACTTGCTCAGATTTTAAGATCCTCAGGAGTGGCCCTTCTTTCTGTTCCACTGCCAAGTAAAGCATGCTTGATAAGAACTCGAGAAAGGGCCTTCTCAGCAACTACTTCCAGGCTCTAGAACTCCCAGCAAAGGCTAAGCAAGTTCCACTTACTATGTGCTTCCACCAACAAGCAAAGCCTTTCAATTCAGACAGTGTTTGAATTTTTAAATTGACTTGCTTGTCAACATAGGCTTCTTTAATTATGTTGCTGTTTCATATTATATTGTTTCTTGCTGTATGGGACACTATTTAGTGGGCAAATGGGGCAGAAATTTCAGGACCAGGGAAAGCATGGCTTCTCCAGATACTTTCAAATTGCAAATCCCATGATCCCTCCTCACTAGCTATATTGACTATATCAAGACAGGTGAGACCATTTGGAAACTCCCCATCTCACAATCCCTCATGACAATTACATACCTAGTACCTTTACAGACATTCAGCCAACAAGAGCCCTGCACAATCTCTGAGTACTCAAAACTGGCTATTATGCTACACTAAGAACAACATCACATGCTGTAATAGAAGCTTTGCCAGGAGTACATGCAAGAGGTAGACACGGCTATAGTACCAATACATTAGGAAGAATGGAGGCTGGTTTCATTACCTCCATCCCTGGCTTACAAATACCAACCACTCACTTCCACTGAATACTATTCTTGGATTTCTTCTCGATTAGCCCGATGCCTTCAAGGACATTTGTGATGTCATAAATGCGCCGTTTCTGCCGCACTGCCAGGGTGTCTGCTGCCTGTGCAGGAAGCACAAAAGAAAAAACCTGTTTTGCGTCACTTCAAATGCACCATCATGCGCACCCCCCAATACAACAGAATCAAAAGAAAGCTTCCTTCAGATATTTTATTCACTACATACAGCAGGAACAGGCATTCTGCAGTCCTGCTGATGTTGCTGGACTGCAATTCCCATCTGTTGTTACAAGCAGAAACAACGAGGTGCTGGGAGTTGTAATTCCACAACTTCTGCAGGACCATATGATCTCTAACACCAAAACATCACAACATGCCTGATCTCTGTTTTTGCCATCTCAATATTGGGAGACAAATAATCATTTAAACATGTGTGCCTATGGAGGTTTTACTTAGGTGATTATGTCAGTTTGACACAGAAGCATAACATGTGAAGTAGCAAAATGCCCACTGAACAGGAAGTTTCAGATGATGCACAGGACTACCTGATAGAAGGGTTAGTGCTTGTATGAATCCAATTTTCCACATCATAGAAAGGCTGCTGGAATGAGGAGCATTGCCTCATGTGCTTCTAGCAAGGCACAAAGAATGCCTCTGTGACGCAGCAATCAGACTAGGTCTGAGTTCAAACACTCACTCATTTATGGGTGACTTTCTCTCTCTCTTCCTCTTTGACTAACCTCCCTTACGAGGCTAGTGAGAGGATAAATAAGAAAGGTGAGGCAGACAATTGGGGAAAGGGAAAATGTCATGCACACTGCCTAAGCTCCTCAGAGTAAAATGTAAACCTTCCAGTGTACAATTGTGATAAAACAGTAAGACAGAATCAAGATCTGTAACGTATAAGGCATTTTCCCACCTATTTCATCAAAGGACTTATATTAACTGATTCAGAATAACCACAGTCACAAGGAACAAATCATTCATTATCTTAAAAATGCAAAACCCTGAGGACCAAAACTGAAACTAATATGAAGGTTTCAAGACAAAGAGCAGTAGTACCTTCAGCTAGTACACAAGTAATCTAATAGAACTCAGTTTATCCATCTAGTAGTGTTGTCTATTCTGATTTGGAGCAACACTCTCCAAGATTTCAGGCAATGTTGTCTCCAATCTCCTCCTGTCTCCTCCTTTCAACTACAGCAGAATTTGGACACATTTACTTTCTGTAAATGTCTTGAGAATCCCCTGGACTGCAAGGAGAACAAACCTATCCATTCTGAAGGAAATCAATCCTGAGTGCTCACTGGAAGGACAGATCCTGAAGCTGAGGCTCCAGTACTTTGGCCATCTAATGAGAAGAAAAGAATCCCTGGAAAAGACCCTGATGTTGGGAAAGTGTGATGGCAAGAGGAGAAGGGGACGACCGATAACTACAGCAGAACTTGGACACATTTACTTTCTGTACAGCAATTAAAGTACAACAATGCCCCAGCCAGCATGAACTCAAGGAATTGAGCCCAGGGTCTCTTTCACACAAAGCTCATCCTTGCAACTGAACTACACTAAATACACATATAGAAGAATTCCACTGGTGTTTATTACCCCCAGGAACTCCAGGCGCTGTTGCTTCATTTTGAGAGGTGGCATGCTCCTGACAAATACTGGGGAAAAGCCAGAAGGTACACTCTTCTTGTGAACTTTCCAAGGTTTTCCATCCATTTTCTGAAATCACCTGGAAGACCCAGTCAGACCAATCTCTGGGTATCCTATTGCAGATCTCTAAAGTATCATTACTCGCCAAAGAAGTTAGGTTGACACTGCTGTAGAAGTTCCACACTCAAATTCATAAGTAACTTTTACACTGTGGACCTTAGTCTCAGCAATCCCTATAAACAAATAGCTCAGTGTAGAACAGAAATTTCATCGTTTTGTGCCAGTTCATCACAAATGACTGCTTGTCAGGTGTGAGCCACAAAATGCTTCTTGGATCTTATGCTTCTCTAATTCTGTCCTTGCTTCTGCAACACAATATTACAATACCATTCATAAGTAACTTTTACACTGTGGACCTTAGTCTCAGCAATCCCTATAAACAAATAGCTCAGTGTAGAACAGAAATTTCATCGTTTTGTGCCAGTTCATCACAAATGACTGCTTGTCAGGTGTGAGCCACAAAATGCTTCTTGGATCTTATGCTTCTCTAATTCTGTCCTTGCTTCTGCAACACAATATTACAATACCATACCCTACCACAACCTTCTGTATCATCTGATCTTCCAAAAAACTTTATACTCATAGTGTATATACAGCTACACTAAAATCCTCCAAACCCTTACCCCAGCTATGCTGTTCAAGGCTGACAGGGAACTGCACAACAACAACAACAACAACAACATCTGGACAATCATGTTGTCACCCATTCTATACATCAAAGTGACTGTTTTGTTCACATGATGTAGAACTGCACAACAACAACATCTGGACAATCATGTTGTCACCCATTCTATACATCAAAGTGACTGTTTTGTTCACATGATGTGCATTTGTAAACCACAAAATCTTACGCCACAATAAATTTGTATGTCATCCTGTGTATGCCCACTCAAAACTAAAGCTTGAGTTCAACAGGGCTGACTCTCAGGTAAGTTTGGGAGCACAAATATAGATCAGCTGAGGAACCAATGACCTTCCAGATATTTTGAACTTTTATTCCCCAAAGCCCTGTCCAGCATGGTTAATGGTGCAACATGATGGGGAAAATAGTCAAAAAATGTGGAGGGCCAGAAGTTCCCCACAGGATTACAGCCTAACCCTTCAAGACAGAAGGAGCCACTATTACTGGTGGAAAGAGGGCAAGACACCTTTCACTGAAGTCTACAAGATGCAATAGTTAACCTGATGAAAGTTTTCTTATGGCAAACTTAACACAACTGAAACAGTAAAACTTATTTCTATGCAAATATACTCAACACTATCTAGATTAACCCTCAGCAGGTATCCAGCAGCAACTAAAAAAAACCCCCAAAACCCATGCCTTGTCCATGTCCCTTCCTAAAACAAAGGCCATCAGACAGCCATGCTGGCTGGGGATGGTGGGAGTAGTAATCCAACCCATCTGGAGGGCACCTCACTGGAAACTGCTGACAGAAGAAACCACACAGTAATTCCAAAGCACTTCACCGGTACCTCCTTTAAAACCACATTGTGGTTCATAACCTTAGACGGCTCTTCCTGCCCTCTTTTCTGCTCTAAATTCCCCATGCTGGGTCCTGCATAAGAACTGATATAAGCTCTTCTTAACAGCAAATGAGATTTCCTCTGCACTACAGTGAAGGCATGCAAAGACTTCAGTTAAGATGAAGCCCTTCAGGCAAGAAGATGTGCAGCCTCTTTTTATGCAGTTACAGCTTCAGTAACCTGGAAGTTGCAGACAAGGAGCCAACTCAAATTCCATGGGACCACCCACTATAATGCATCCATGCGTGCAGAGACCCACAATGGAAATGCAGTTACAGCTTCAGTAACCTAGAAGTTGCAGACAAGGAGCCAACTCAGATTCCATGGGACCACCCACTACAATACATCCATGCGTGCAGAGACCCACAATGGAAACTAGCAGACATGCTTCTCAGCAGAACACATTTGCCACGTGGAAGGCTAAAGCTAAAAAGCAGCTCCAGCCAGCTACAAGGAAGGGGCATCTGAGGGAAAACATGACCCGGGCTGCCCTCATTGTCACTGATCTGGAGCGAGAAAACTTTAGGGGGGAGGGGACTGCCTATGTGTGTAGGAGGTGAGCTGGGCCAGCTACAAGGAAGGGGCATCTCCCGAGCTGGCATCTGAGGGAAAACATGACCCGGGCTGCCCTCATTGTCACTGATCTGGAGCGAGAAAACTTTAGGGGGGAGGGGACTGCCTATGTGTGTAGGAGGTGAGCTGAGGACAGTAGTCAGATCTATGTCATAACTTATTTAATTAACTGAACCTGTCCTCGCTGAAAGTGACCTGGTACAGTATTTGCAAAGGGAAGCAAGAAGGAAATAAGTTTCCCTGGTGGAGGAGAAGGTCAGGGGCAAGGGCCTGCACACACACACACGGGGAGCAGTCAGGCATTTTAGGAGATGAGTCAAGACACCTTTTCATGGAGATGGCCTGATCCTGCCCCTTCACCCCCAGGATCCTCACCCTGTCCCCGTCCCCCAAGTGGATGAAGCGAGAGCCCCTAATGCGTTCCTGAGGCGCGATCCACCACCACCACCACCACGATACGGAGAAGGCAGGATCCTTCCCACTCCTACCCCCCCCCACACACACCCTTCCATCCCCTCAGTTCTCTGCCCGCCCGCCCCCGGTGCTCCTTCCCCGAGGCCAGGCTTTCCCTCTCCGTTCCCTCACCAGCTTGAGGTCGAGCACGCCGTCCTTGGCCTCCTGCAGAAGCGACACGAACTTGGTGGTGAGGAGACCCAGGCTCTTCTCGTGCCGGCTCGGGGCGCCCCCCGGGGGCTGAGGCCCGGACTCCGCCATCCGCCCGGCTCAGACGGACGCCGCCGCTGCTGCTGCTGCTGCTGCTGCTGCTGCTGCTGCTGCCGGGGCAGCTTCCACTCTTCCCGTGCGGCCCCCGCGCTCTGACCCCTCCGTTACTTCCGGTCGCCGCAGGGCAGGACGGGAGGAGGAGGAGGAGGAGGAGGGGTAAAGTCGCCATCTTGAGATCTCCTCACTTCAGCCCCGCCCATTCCAGAACTGGGCTTTTCCTGGAAGGGAGACTTGAGCTCAGCAGCGGCCTCTGCTGGCCAGTCGGGTGTATTAAACTGCCCGTGGAACTTTTTTGGGCAATTGAAGGTGGAAGCTTAAGCACTGGCGCTGAAAAAGAATGTTTGGCAAATATTTTGCTTGATTAGGAGACCCGCTCAAAGCTCCACCAAAGGGCAGAACTTGGAAAATCTGCCTCGCTCCTTTTCTGTCTTTTGCCAAGCTCTTCAAAGTACTTGAACTTCCTCTGGAAGTAAAAACGACGAAATTGAGACTGTCCTACTTTGGGCGTTTTATGAGACTAACTGCCCCTTCACGGCTTTGCTGCCTTGTTGTGGCGGCGAAGGGGGTTGAGTAATTCAGAGAAGCTATGCTCTCATCGTGGAGAGTTCGGACTAAACGCGATCTACCTGGAGCAGGAACTGGCAAGCCACTCCGGTATCTTTGCCAAGAAAACTCCATGGACAGAAAGAAAAGACTAATAGGCTCAATGTGAAACCAGACAAGACAGAAATCTTGCCCTTGAGGGGCCACTCAGGTTGGGTGGCGTTACCCCCTAGACCGGATAGCATGGCCCTCCTGTTTAGGGACCAGGTACATCATCCTGGCATGCTCCTGGACCCGGCACTGTTTTGCAATTCCCAGCTATGTCCAGAGCAGCCTTCAACCAACTTAGACTTGTTGCCCAAGACTTAGACTTACCTAGATAGGGATCCTTACGGACACTGAGGCAGGCACTGGTCATCTCCGAGATTGACTACAGTAATGCTCTCTACATGGGGCTTCCCATGACACTGACCTGGAGACTGTAGCAGGCCTAGAATGCAGCAGCCAAACTGGGGCTGGTGTGAACAAGTCTGATCACATCTCCTCAGTGCTGGCTCCCCTCCACTGGTTTCCCTGTTGTTTCCCAGATCATATTCAAGGCTTTGATGCTCACATACAAAGCCATCCACAGTTTGGGACCACATTTCTTGTTGGACCGTCTTTCCCCAAGAGTAACTACCTATACCACCAGATCCTTCTAGGCAGTTGCTCCTCCAGGTGGCTACTCTGAGGTAGGCCAGGAGGTCAGCCACAAGGGGCCAGGCCTTCGTTGCAGTGGCACCAACACTTTGGAACCAGCTGCCAGTGAAGCTGCATCTGGCTCGCTCTCTCCTAACATTCAAAAGGCTTCTCAAGAAGTTTCTTTATAGAGAAGCCTTTCTATACAATCCAGCCAGACCCTATGTCTCCTGTCCTATTCCTGCATTTACAAAACAAGCCTCTTCTACTTTTAGTAGTACAGTATTTGTTTTTATTTGGTTCAGGAGTTGATTTTAATGATAATTCTCTTCTAAGTGTTTTATTATTACACAGTGATGCCTCGCTTTACGATCCCCCTGCATTACGATGAATCCGCTTCATGACGATCTTTTTGCGATCGCAATTGCGATCGCAAAACGCTGGTGTAAATGGGGGAATTTCGCTTTGCAATGATCGGTTCCCTGTTTCAGGAACTGATTCTTCGCAAAACGATGTTTTTCTAACAGCTGATCGGCGGTTTCAAAATAGCCACTGGGTAACTAAAATGGCTCCCTGCTGTGTTTAGGGACGGATTCCTTGCTATACAGGCAGCGAAAATGGATCTTTGCTGGATGGTGAGTTTTTACCCCATTGGAACGCATTGAACGGGTTTCAATATGTTTCAGTTGGGGTTTTTATTTCACTTTATGATGTTTTCGCTTAACTGCAATTTTCCTGGAACAGATTATCATCGTTAAGCGAGGCACCACTGTATTGTTGACTGCTTAGAATAGTGCTATGTACTAATGGGGCAGTATATAAATGGAAGGGAGGAGGGGGAGAGAGAGAGAGAGAGAGAGAAAGAAAGAAAGAAAGAAAGAAAGAAAGAAAGAAAGAAAGAAAGAAAGAAAGAAAGTTTATTCTTTTCAGTTGTCTGAAAAGGTATCACCTGCTTCTGCAAATATGAGATGGATTGACTTCCTGAAGAAAGCCACAAGCTTCAGTTTGCAAGAGCAGTGCTGTTGAGGACAGGGCATTTTGGAGATCACTCATTCGTAGAATTGCCATATGCTGGAGACAACTTGATGGCATGTAGCAACAACAGCCACCCTCCAAGAGTTTTGACTGAGTTCAAGAATTTGAACCCAAGTCTCTTGAATCTTAGTGCAAAACTCACATTATACCTTAGAAATACCTTGTGTTGCTGTGGTGGGTACTAGATTTCTACAAATTACAAACCATTCAGAACTTGTGTCAGCAAATCCATGTAACCTGAAGGAAACCACATAGGAGCCTCATGTTGCAGTGGTTAAACTATAGTACTGCAGTGAAGACTCTGCTCACAATCTGAGTTCATTCCTGGGCTCAGGTAGCTGGCTCAAGGTGACTCAATCTTACATCCTTCCAAGGTTGGTAAACTGAGTACCCAGTTTGCTGGGAGATCAATGTGTAGCATGCATAATTAAATTGTAATTCTGAGAGAGCTTTAAGCAGGGTGATATATAAGCAGCACGCTTTAACTGTGGGAAGGGTGTGTTGTTCTCCTTGTCCCCATGGAATAGCAACCGGTCAAGCTCAAGCACACTGGGAAATGCAAGGATGTTGCCCAACACATTTTGGTGCCAGAGGTGAACCAGAAGATTGTGTATTTCACCCACCCAAGTCAAGGTGTGTAAGGGTTAGGTTTTCTGCTGGTTATGATGGCTAAGGCTGCTGGGCCAAGAACTATCAACAGTTGGCCTAAACATTTGTACAGATTTTCACAAAGTTATCCTGGAGTATAAACACAACATCCATATTGAGGGCTACACACCATGGTCAGAGAATGACAGTGGAGACATGACTGGATTCTGGTACAGTAATCGGAACCCTTATGTGCATGCATGACATGACCTCAGGTCACCAAATGCACTTCAGTACAGAACTGTCCTTTATCTACATCGACTGCTCTGTCTGTATTCCCAAAGAACTAAAACTATCAAGTGTGTTTGCAATTTATCCTGCCTCCCTTATTCCTACATCCTGCAGTGTTACAGGACAAACCCCTGAGGAGCTGTGAGCAGTTATCCCTGGCGGAAACTGCTATGGCTGGGCTCTGCTTCCTCTGCTCAGCCCAGACCTGGACACCGCGACTAAAGCAATGGGTACGTCGCCAGAAGAGGATGATTCTTCCAGTCCCAAAGGTAAACAGAAGGGCCCGTTGTCTCGGTTTGTGAAGTATCTTTTCTCTCCACCTTTTCTCTTTCCTCCAGTGGAAGACAGAAATCCTTCCCCTTCCCTGGGAAAAACCGCAAAAGTACACAACCTTACCCACTACAGTTTTTGCTGAGATTTCAGGAAATGTTCTGAAAATTGCATTCTTGGGAGAAATAGTGGGGTGGGGGACTGTCCCTCTTCAGAGACAGACTAGCATCTAGTAAGAATTGTCATATTTTGATTGTGTCGTATTTTTAAAGAATTGTCATACAGTATTTTGCATCTAGTAAGAATTGTCATATTTTGAAGCTTGTCCCGCACTGACTTGGGGAGACCAGTGGGAAATGTTTTAATTGTTATATTTCATATGATTGTATCTAGTGACTCCCAGCATTGCCCGTGGAGGATTTGGAGAATTGTACTAGAAAAAGAATTTTTTCCCCAAATGTTAGGAAAAACAAAGACTAATAGGAAGTGAGGGTGCATGGAGAGATCTGTAGGAGGACAGGTCACAGACTCTGTCATACTTTTGGGTCAGTTCTCAGATTCTTGAGAATCACTGGCTGGAATTTTGTTTCAGTCTCTCAGACACAGTAGGGAAACCCCTGTTTACTGATCCTTCTAGAACTGAAAATTTTCAGACTAAGAGTCCAGCTGGCCTGGCATTATGGTACCACAGTAGTGATGCTGTATATCAGGTCACAGACTCTGTCATACTTCTGGGTAAGCTCTCAGGTTCCCTGAGAATCACTGGCTGGAATTTTGTTTGTCTCTCAGACAGAGTAGGGAAACCCCTGTTTACTGATCCTTCTAGAACTGAAAATTTTCAGACTAAGAGTCCAGCTGGCCTGGCATTATGGTACCACAGTAGTGATGCTGTATATTTTGCAGAAGCACACCAAAAAGGATTCTACAAGCAAAATCAAAAGATGGAATGCCCCAAACAAAAAATTATAACTATGAAACGAGCTCAGATCACCACCAAATTCAGCACTGATGTAACAGAAAGTTTGCTCTTGCTCTTTGTCAAATTTGGGGGACATTTGGGCAAAGGGTGTTTTTTTAAAAAAAAAATAACACAGTTTTACCCCTTGTAAAGGCACAAGTGACCAGAAATCTACAGCTAATTGAAAAGCAGTTTAATATGTAGATAAGATAATTTGCATACCGGAAAATCTAAATTTTAACCTATTTTTTTTTCTATCCATAGGAATTGGGCCATTCTTAGCTCCAATTCAGACCCTTTAATTACTGCTTTTAAACCCATAAAACCTCTGAAATCGCTCATTTTTTAAATAACTTCTGAGAATTCCAAAGGAACCCATTGCATAGCCTAGCACTCTGGCCAATCAGAATGTGCCCCCAGGCAGCCCACAGAGCAGGTGCCTGCCACTTTTAACCCTGCCCTTCTTAGCTCCAATTCAGACCCTTTAATTACTGCTTTTAAACCCATAAAACCTCTGAAATCGCTCATTTTTTAAATAACTTCTGAGAATTCCAAAGGAACCCATTGCATAGCCTAGCACTCTGGCCAATCAGAATGTGCCCCCAGGCAGCCCACAGAGCAGGTGCCTGCCACTTTTAACCCTGCCCTGGCCTTCAGTGTGAAAGAAAGCATTTACCGTATTTTTCGCTCCATAAGACGCACCTTTCCATAAGACGCACCAATTTTTTAGGAGAAGAAAAGAGGAAAATATAATCTGTTTTCTTCGCTCCATAAGACGCACAGACTTTCCACCCCCCTGTTTTGTGGGGGAAAAGTGCGTCTTATGGTGCGAAAAATACAGTAACTCCTTCCTCATCACACATTCTTAGCTCCTGTCTGTGGAAATATTTTAAAAGTTATTTAAAAAAAATAGATAATAACATACAGCAGCTCATTCATTTCAGCTGTGAAATTATGTGTTTTCCCTTTGTAGCTTTGAATTATCTCAAAACATGTTTTACCCAGTTTATTTGTAAGACTACCCAGTTTATTCATGATTACGTTTACCAAGTTTACTCATAAGTTTTTGGATCCACATTATTTCATTGAATTTTTAGATGTTACGGTATCTTCCCTACATCAATGTCAGATCATAGATCCTATTTACACCCATAGATTACACCACAGAAATAGGTCCTTCGGTGCATGGCTTTGTACTGGTGCAAAAACATGGAGATGATGCATGAATCCTCATGGATCCACATGACTTTTCTGCAGGATCATGCCCAAACTACTGTCCAGTCATAGGCCCCATCTCTGTCCACACACTAAAACACAGAAATTGTGGGTCCTTCGGTGCATGGCTTTGCAATCACACAAAAACATGCATCTGAAATACAAATCCTCATGGATCTACATGATTTTTACATAGGATTATGCCGCCCATCTGTGTTCACAGACTAGACCACAGAAATCATGGGTCCCTCAATGCATGGCTTTTCAGTGGTGCCAAAACACCAATCCAAGGCATAGTCAGTGTCAGCAGCAGCAGTGGCGGCAACAGCCACCACCAACATCACCTTAGAATTACAGAGCTGGAAGGGACTTTACAGATCATCAAGTCAAGTCCCAGACAAGGCACAGTGGAGAATTGAACTCCCAGCCTCTAGCTCTACAGCCAGAGACCAAAACTGCTAAGCTATCTAGTAGTTCTTGGATTCCACTATACAGTCATACACCACAAGGGTCTCCCAGTGCATTGTTTTGCAGTGGTGCAAAACACGGATCTGATGCATGGATCCCCTTAAATCCACAAGATTTTGATGTAGGATGATCACCAAACCACTGTCCAGCCACAGGCTCCATTTGTGGTCATAGATTAAAACACAGAAATCTTAACTACAGACACATTCTGATTGGTCAGAATGCCATGCTATGAAAAACGTTCAGTCACTTAGAATGTTTATATTTCTATTATATGCGCATGGCACCATAGATTCTGGTTGCTCATTTTTGCTTGAGTGAGAGTTCAGGCTTGACTTGATTGAGCACCCACTTTTCTGCTTTTCTAGGTGTCTTTAGTATCTCTGCCAACACCACATTTCAAATGACTTGATTTTTTTTCTTTCTCTTTCTTCACTATCTTAGTTTCACATAGTATGCATGACTTTGACTTTGTGTTCCAGTGACATTTTTGGCTAACTCCAACCTCTTCTTTAAAAAAATAATAATCAAAAAGCAAAGGGACATATTTTGGAAAACGTACAACATATCCTAGAGGTTTTGGTCCAATACAGCTTTTCTTCCTTGGCTTGCCTACCTCAAAGAAGGGGATATGAAATTGGAACATAGCTTTCCAGTCTGCGTTTGGCAGAGCCGGCATGGCAACATTAGTGAACTAAGAGGTTAAGGAGTGTGTATTAGAGATGGGCATGAGCCTCAGTTCGGAGGTTTGTACCACTTCATGGTGCCACATGTTCACTTCTTTCCCCCCCCCACCAGCTGGATGCCAAGTTCTACATAACAAAGGGCAACTTGAATATTGACAACACCAATGGTGTGTGGTCCCCACCTATTTTCACCTTAAAAGCTACAAGGGTTCAAATATGCCATTTACTGGTAAATGTAATTTTGCCTTCAGGCCTCATTTAAAGCAGAGTTAGCCTTTTTTTTTAGCAACTGGAAGTGGCCAACCTGTCACTTCCTGTTTCTGACTAGCCGCGGTGCATGTGTTGCATTTAAATAGCAAATGATTCTCTCGAGATTTCTGGGAGACATGAAAAACTAAGAGGCCGTGGTGCAGCCCACTAAACACTGTGAAGGAGGGTGGGTGAGAAACAAAGGTTCCCAGCCTCTCAGAGATTGCCTGTTCTGGTATAAAACACATTCAAAGAATCAGAAAGTTTCTGTTTCTCAAGGACACCCATAAGCAGATACCATTCTTTGGATGAACCATCCACTACGTCTTCTCAGTGATGATGTGACTTGAAGCATCCTTAGAAGTGCGGTATGTCAAGAACTTATGAAGTATTTCATGGCCATGTCACTGGCACAAAGATCAATGGTATACTTATTAGTTTGTTCAGGAGTGGGAGGCTTTTGCCCCCCCCACCCATGTGTACTGGAGTTATAAAACCTGTAATTCCTACCACTGGCTATGCTGGGTGAGGATTTTTGGATATTTGACTCAATTGATATGGTGTTCATGCAAGAATACTGTTGTTTTTCACAATTAATTTTTAAATTGATGAAACAGGAAACACATAATGTCTGTAAGGTTGTTTTTATTAGCAGAATTTCAACTGTCTAAGAGAGTCCTGTAGATTAGATGTGGGATATTTGTCTTCATCTCTCCTGGGAGAGACGAAGATGAATCTCGCCAGCACAAGTGGTTGGAACGATTAATGCTGCCCCCAGAACCCACTGGTCCACTTACTGCTTGCTGTGCAGCGTACATGGCTGGTGTCATCAAGAGCACCCCAATTGTGGCAGTCGTCCATCTGGTGCTGCCCTGTCTCCCTGCTTGGCTGGCTACTCTGGCGAGGGGGTGGGATGATGAGTCTCCCTGCTCAGCTGCTGAGTGGCCAGCCGAGCAGGGAGGCAGGGCAGTGCCAGTTGCACTGTTGATGATGCCAGCCGTACATGCCACTCAGCAAGTGTTAAGTGGACCGTCGGGTTCTGGTGGCAGGCATTAATCAGGCCAGCCACCTGTGCTGGTGAGATTCATCTTCATCCCCCACGGGAGACAAAGACGATCCTCCCATGTCTACTGTAGATTCTGTGGCAAAATTGGCAGGGGCTGGTAGGCCTCACAGTGGGGCCTGAGAGAAGGTCCTCCCGGAAGCAGCTGGACTTGGGGGTTATTAACACACTGGTGGCACTAGACCACAACATTCTGGACAGCTTTTTTCAGGTCTTTCATGTGAAATAGTATGGGGAATCGTGGAATCCTGAGACACTCCACAGGCTAATGATGAAGGTGTTGAACAGGAGTACCCCAGAAGTTGACTCCTTTTTTCATCAGTTAACCATTTTTTATCCAAACACAAAGCAATGGGCCGGGCTATTTTTCAACAAGTGTGACTGGTAGTGAGCAGAAGAGGGTATCCTGTGTAGACCATCTGGATGGCTGCCATTGATGTTGTCAACATTCAGGCTGCCCTTGGCTATGTAAAGCTTGGCCTCCTTTTTCCTGCTGGCAACATGGGCACGATATTTTGCAGCCACACTGGGCCATTTCCTAGCTTTTTGAATTGTTGGTACAGAAGCAGAATGTCCCACATTCATAAACTGGAGGTTTCATGAAGAACTGAATTTATGAAAGGGTTCTTTGAAATAAATTGTCTTAATCTATTCACCCTAACGTATCTGGTGATTTATTGCTATATAAGACAATATAATAAGACTGGCTAGGAGAATTTTGCTGAACGATGGCTGATCTGTGAGATGGCTCACTCCTGGTCTTGCCTGTCATCACCTAGAGTCATGCAATTAGCTGCATTTACTGTGTGGAACATGGGGATTAGAAGTGTTTCTGCCTGAAGCAGAACAGTGAATGTCATAAATGTGCATGGCATTCAAAGCCAGTCATGTTATTTTGACCCATGAGGTAGAAAATGTAAGCCCCTCTCCCCATCCTTGACAGTAAATTCACAACTGTATACTGCCTTGTCAGTTTCACTGTTTACTGTGTCCATCTGATACTGCCAAATGGTAAGGCCAGCCCTGCTAAAGAACCTGTTATTACAGGCTCGTACAGTACCACATCTTCACACATCTGGCTGTAGTGGAATGGTAACGTATGTTTTACACATTTAGTGAGGGCTATAATTTCCCACTCCTCACAGAATTAGTCTTAAACAGTAAACCCACATTTCACTATTTTGTAGCTTCCACTCATCCACATTCACCCTGACTTGCTGTTTGAAAGAGAATACCCATTTTTAACCTCTAACTGCCCTGCATCACGCACAAAAAAAATCTTTTTTGCTTTTGCCTTCCACGATGGCCCATTATGTCTTCAAGCACTAAAACATGTCACGTATACAGTACAGCAGAATGCCGGTTTGCTACAGTTCATATCTCTTGAACAGGCCCGGGCGGACACATCCTGTTTCCTTCCTGCATACCAGGGAAGCAGCTGGGACGGAAGAGGCATTCCTGTCTGATGAAAGGCACAATCCTTAGATATGTTTTTTCTGTCTTAGATGCGGAATGGCCAGAAGTGGAGAAAGCTGAAAAATTAGCAAGAGGAGCTGCCTTAAAGTGGGCATCTGGGGTGTTTTGCTGCCCAGAAAAACTGGAGGGTCTTGGTCAGTACCGTATCCGGGAGAAACAGCGCAACAGTTTCATCCAGTCCCGCATAAAGGTGGGTGGTCTGGTCATGGCAGAAAAACCTCTCCCAAGAGGTCTTGGGTTGGTTGGTAATGTTTAAAAATAATACTTCTCCCTTCATTCTTGTTCCGGTGCCCCAGTCTTCAAACTCATTTTTTACATAAGGTCAGATTTCCTTATATCATCATCCCTTCAATAAAAAGTCCCAACATGATTTACAATAAAAGAAAATACAAAAGTAGAACAAAAACACTTCAGTAAATTTGTGACTAAATACTTATATCATCATCCCTTCAATAAAAAGTCCCAACATGATTTACAATAAAAGAAAATACAAAAGCAATAAAAGTAGAACAAAACACTTCAGTAAATTTGTGACTAAATAGTCAGAAAAGCACAGGGATGGAAGGCAGCAATGAAAAGCCTAATTTTAAACAAATAATAAGCAAGACTAAACGTATCTCAGAGTAGCTTAAGAAAACAGACAAGTCCTTGTCTGATGCCGAAAAGAAAAATGCCTGGACAAGAACTGAAGCACCGTCCGAAAAAGGCTGTCCTCTGGTAGCCATTCAGCTTGCTTTAGACAGTGAGGAAAACTGCAGAAGTTCCCCATCAGAAGATTATAATGCACAAGGAGATGCCACCTGGTCCTCGGATATTGCTGGATTGCAACTCCCACCTGTCATATAGCCAGTGTAATCAATTTAGATCAATCATGGGAGTTGTAAACCAACAACATTTAGACTGCTACATACAGTATTTCCCATCAGCCGCATTCCATTACCTGAAATATAAGGTCAGCATTTGAGATTGAGGGTGGTGCCTTGCGACGTCACATACATGAGGCGATACAAAGGTTGGGAAATGGTTCGGAATGACTTGTGGCTCATCTGAACTACAGAAATGGGTGCAAGTGTGTTCTGGGTAAAAGGGCCCAGAATTTAAGTAAAATTTGCACAATGAGGCAACACAGCACCCAGGAAAGCTGCTCTGTTGTCGACAGGTCTGTCCTATTAAACAACCACACTCTGATTTAATAGAAATAAGTGTGACTAACACCACCTCCAAAATATCAAAACAAAAATAATTGCTATAGAAGCTGGTGAGACATGATGGCTAAGGCTGCAATCCCACGCACGGTCACGCCTTGTATGGGAGTTCAGCCTTTGTGGACCTAGTGGGACATCTATAGGCTTGCACAGTATGAACTCTACTCGGGGGAAATCCCTCATTCAAGTATTAGCTGTTTATGAAGCTTTCTAAATGCAGAATATTCTTAGGAGAGTTTGCCTGTAGGTTAAGAGCAGTCTGTGCATGTAGATAAAATAACTACCACTCCCCCTCCCCTTGCTTGCTCATGTTGAAGGAAGCCCTTCCTCCCATCTTTAACAACATCTGCTTGCATCTCCCATCTGCTTGAACACTGCTAGATGAAAGCTGTGTGTCTAAAGCCATTACTAATCTAAGGATATCTCTGTGTAACTGGAGCAGGCTTAGGTAAAGGTAAAGGTTCCCCTTGACATTTAGTCCAGTCGTGTCCAACTCTAGGGTGCGGTGCTCATCCCCATTTCCAAGCTATAGAGCCAGTGTTGGTCTGAAGACTGTTTCCATAGTCACGTGGCCAGCGCAACTAGACACAGAATGCCGTGACCTTCCCACCAAGGTGGTGCCTATTTATCTACTCGCATTTTTACATGCTTTCGAACTGCTAGGTTGGCAGGAGCTGGGACAAGCGTTGTGTGGATTCCATACTATGACTGCTGGTCTTTGACCTTGCAGCACAGAGGCTTCTGCGGTTTACCCCGTAGCACCACCACATCCCTGTAAGCAGCAGGCTTACAGCTAGATACAGTATATATGTACTGGCTAATGCAGGTGAGGGGGAGAAAGAGAATTTAAAAAAATGTGGGGGGGGGAGGCAAGATGTACTTTTAAGCAGCCATGTGTTTTAAAACAATGAGCAGCACAATTAATTAAGCTAATTTATGCCTTGTTCAAAGCAGTTTACCCCCAGGTAAACCCCACTGAACATAAGATTGCAGCAGTCCTAGTGATGTTCACATAGAAGTAATTTTAATTCTGACAGGACTCATTGCCTATCCCTCCTTATCATCTCCTTATCCTCATGATTTCAGTTGTTCAGTTACATAGCAAAGGAAAAGGAGGAGTAAGATGCCAGCAGAAATGCCATAAAAACCAGTCACTAAGCCCTGCTTCCCAACCTTGGGTCCCAAGATGTTCTTGGACAAAAATTCCTGGAAGCCTTCACCACTAGCTGTGCTGGACAGGATTTCTGGAAGTTGTAATCCAAGAAGAACAGGGGACCCAAAGTTAAGAACTTCTGCACAAAGCAGTGCTTTAAAATCTAACTTTTGAGTCATGATACCAAACAGATGCCGAACTTGCATTAACTCTTCCAGTTTTCTTTTACCCAAAACAGTTAGCTCTTAGAGGATCCTTTGTTTTATATCTAAAAAGTGGTGGTGGGTCTATGCCCTAACTAAACCCCTGACATTAATCAGAAGAATGCCAAGGTGGCTGTAGGACAAGATCAATGCTGCGAGTGGTAGGCAACTTACATTTGTTCTGCAGCAACTTCTGTCGCTTTCCAAATCGTTTGGATTGAATCTCTTGTCATCCTGGTCATACTGTTCAGAGATTCATCCTTGCACAAGTTGAAGAAAAGGCTTTCTAGGCTCACCATGTGACCTCCTGGATGTGCACCACCCTTCAGCGCACAGACAAACTGTGACACTTGCTGACACAAAATACATTCAATCTTCCATGCTGCCTCGGATGCGTCCATTACCTCTTTGCCACTGCGCCACTTTCTTCTCTCTCTCTCTCCCTAGTCAACTCTCCAGTCCTATTTGGAAGGGATGAGCACGGGCCTGGAGTTGCTACATACAGCCAAGGCAGATGTCCAGCAGGTGCGGGAAGAGCTGGGAAGTGTACAACAGGACTTGGCGTCCAGAGCTGGCTTCTTTCACAATCTGCAGCAGTTGCAGAAGGTGGCAGAGAAACATGCGCAGCTGAGCTCAGTTGTCCAGACACTGCCTCAGCTTTTCTCAGGTAAGAGCCTCCTTGGGTCTCTTGAACTCCCTCCCAGGGAAGGCTAGGCTAGCTGCACCTCTGTTGTCTTTTCATCAGCAGGCAGAGACTTTTTTTTTTGCAAGCAAGCCTTGGTTGCTTAATTTGGGCTGCTTTTGATAGCGTTCTTAACTGGCTAATGTCACTTGTGTGTGGTTGCTGAACACTTTTTAAAATCTGCTATACCTTATAATTCCGTTTCTGTTTTTATTGGAAATTTAGGGTGCAGTTAGATGGAAAAATAGCTTGCAGTTTGGACCATTTGTGACACGGTACAGTGTGAGCTATTTTCTAGCAATGACAGCATATGTAGAGGAAATGGCAGGCCAGGCTGATCTGGCTCCATGCCCGAGCTTGAACCCTTTTTGGTCTAGCAGCAAGGAAACTCTTTTTTTGTAGCTTGGCTGGAGCAATTTTTGTACAGACAGAAGGGTCACTTTAAGGAAAATTACTCGGTGAAGTGACCCTTTCCAGTACCCTTACTTTCATCAACTATTTTGAGTGATACTTTAGGCAGGGAAAAACCCCTCAGGAGTTAAGTGTAATAAATAGATAACGCAGAGTACATGAATGATGCCTTGCAGTTCCAAGAATGAATTCAGAAGCATATTCACTGTCACTTTTATCGCAGACATCCATATGCACCAAAGCTTTAGCGCAGACATTCTCAGCCTTGCATATTTTATGTCGCATCCCTAGTCTCTTTATTGAAAAAAATCTGGCTCCACTATGATAGAAAAAAAAAAGTTTACTTTCCCCTTTAAAAAGACATGTGTTTAGAGGCATCCTGTTGTTCTATTTATCAAATATTTACAGGCATTCTGTTGTTACATTTGCCATTTATGGTAAGTTGGCAGGTAGCAGGAACAGGGGATAAGTTTTAAAAGACAGCCACTTCACGATACTAGGAAATTGAACAGAGAAGAGGAAGTAAAATATGTGTTTTTAAAACTGTATTATGGCAGCACTGGTGCACTGCAGCATGTAGAAACAAACAAAAATATATTTAAAACATACTCCCAGAAGTGGCAGGATACAAGAGGAGGCAAGGAAGGGGATTTTGTTGTTACTGTTTCCAACAGGCGGGAGGACCAAAAAGAGCCACTTGAGGAGAGTGTGACATTTTGATGCAAGGATTACATCAAATGGCATAACGGACCTCTGCTTGACCTTAAGCAATTAAGCAGACCACTCCAAATGCACCCTTATAGGCAAGCCCTAGTCCAGGTCTTTTCCTTCTTTCATCTAAGTCATGCTTTTGAAATCCTAAACCACCTTTTCTTTCTCCCCTTTCCTCTCCCTATACAGTACATCGACTCCTTTCTGAGGCCTTTGATCTCCTGCAAGGTCACCACCTCCTGGAAGCCCATGCTGGACTCATGGCCCTCGAAAGCTTACGGGATGAAATCCTGTCCCAGTTACATAATCACAAGCTACTTAACTCATTAGACCTGGCTAGTATAGAAACCTACTTTGGGGACCTCCTGGCCCTAAATGAATCCCTGGCCAAACACTTATGGCATGTTGTAGCACATAGCACAAGGGTGGTGTCTGAGGACCCAACTCTTTTTGTATCGGCTCTACGAATTATTGAGCGGGAAGAGGGCATCGATGCGGTCTTGCTACAAAGAGCCCATCCTCCGGGCTTTCTTCCACCTGGGCGCCCCAAATGCTGGCGACAGAGGTTCTTCGAGGTGATCCAGAGCACCATTGTAGCTTCACATTTTGAGCCCGTTCCAAGCAATGTCCAAAGCCAGCAATTCTCTAGACATTTAGCCTCCTTGCAGAGCAGCATCCTGGCAGAGCTATGCATTGTGAAAGATCTCATGGTCCAGTGCTGCCCTCCTCACTATGATATCCTCACAGCTTTTGCTTCCATGTATCACCAAGGCCTTGCCAGTCACCTGTGTCATATCCTTACCTGGGATCTGGATAAGCAAGAGATCTTCGCTCTTCTCCACTGGGCAATCCATGTCTATCCTAGGTCAGTGCCATTGCTGACAGTTGTTATAGAATAGATCAGTGGTTCTTAACGTGGGCGATAATGCCCCCCAGGGGGCGATTTCATTTTTCAGGGGGGCGGTAGAACGAAAAGGGGCGGTGTGGGGGCGCTGGAGCAGAAGGAGGGCAGTAGGGGGGTCCTGGAGCAAGCCAAACCTGTTAAGATGGCTGCAGCCTTTTTACAGTGTGCATGAATATATATTTTCCTCCAATCTTAATTTAGTTTCA